CATTGTGCTCTTTATCTTGTAAGGGAGGAGAGAGTAAACATGGACTCTTGATAATGGTGGGAGCACTTTGGACTTTGGCCTTAGGAAAAATACTGGTGACTGCAAAGGCACAGAAGGTGAGGTGGCCCTTGCCCAGCCGAACAGAAACCCTTCCAGCAGATAGAGAGAAAGAGAGAGAGAGAGAGAGAGAGAGAGAGAGAGAGAGAGAGAGAGAGAGAGAGAGATAAACTGGGGAGGAGGAGAGGGTTCCCAGGGCTTGAAAAGGGCATTTCCCTTGATCCCAGGGGCTGCTGTAGCCTGGGTTGAGCATCATGCCCTTCACTGTGGAGGCTGCTACTTCCTGAAAGAAAATTCCAAGCAAGAGAAGACATTGGAAGGGTGGGCGGGAAGTGGAATTCCATTCCAAAACTAAGAAAGAAACCCATCTAGGCCACTAGACGCACGTTCTGTGAAAGGAAAGTCGGGCCCTTTGCTTTTTCTTCGCAGACATTTGGGCCCACGTCTGACAATTGCAACATCTCTCGGTGCTGCCTCAGACAGCGCAGAATCCAGCCTAAGCCAGGAAGGGCCAAATCCATCCAGAAGAATAAAACGCATCACTGCGCACCAGACTTACCTTTTTTTTCCTGTCTGTCCCCACAAAGACAAGAGAGAAGTGTGGTCCAGGGTCAAAGGACGGCTGGGATGGTAGCATCCTTGGCACGTGTGGCGATCTGGCCCCCTGCTCCGTCCTCTGCAAGGAGCCTCAGGGAGGTTTCCCAAGAATCCAAGGTCCTGGCTGGCCTAGGCTAGACCAGGGCCACCGAAGACTGGCTTGGCTCAACACGGGGGGGAGGCAGGGCTGGAGGACGGGGGTCATCTGGACGTGGAGGAGAATGGAAAAGAGGGAAAGAGATTTCAGCAGGAACGGTGTTGATGGGAGGAACATGGAGTCGTCCCCCCACCCCGAAAGTTGAATTCCCTGTTCTGAGGACTGGGCTTTCTTTTAATGCTAACAACTTGATATTTACTTTCCATTTAAATTTGAGATGCTGCTATAAATTATCAACCAGGCTCTTGTTCCCTTTGAGTTGATAACTAACTACCTGGGTTACTTATTGTTCAGGTAACAAAAGGGAGGTGAGGAGCCCTTCAGGAATAACCTCAGCGCAAGAGAGGAACTTGAACCCCACGGGTGATCCCCAGGGGGAAAAGCAGGACGGCCCAAGGCTGGAGGTCAGGAACTGAAGCCCATGGGCAGGAGGGGGCCAGGGATCCATCCTCAGCTGTCCCGCCCCCCCAGAAGTCCTCCTGCAGGGAGAGGCCACCAAAGCCTGGGGGGGGGATTAGGGTGACCTTCTGAATGTCTAGGTTTCCTCATACTTTTCTAAGGACCACCTTGGCCCCCCAACTCTGCCCCACATCGGAAGGCCCAGACAGGGCATGGTCTGAGCACTCCTTTCGGCCTTCCTTCAAGACATCCGTTGCTCCAGGAAATGGTTACCCCCCCAAGAACCCCACATTTCTGGTTCTACCAAAGGAACTGAGATGATTCTGGGGACAGATGGCCCAATTTTATGTGTTCCCTTTCCTTCACTCAACCCTGTTTCCAATTTTCTTCAATTGCGCTATGGGTCAGTGAAATATTGGACATTTTCTCCAGAGTAAAATAAGCCATTGTGGCCACCTTAAATTCATTTATCTCTTTATTTCTCATACGTACATGTATATGTATATGTCCACATAAATCTGAAATTGTATAGTGTAAAATTAAGAAAAAAAGATGTAAAAGATAAAAGAATAAGTAGAAACAATAGTGAAGAAAAGGAAAGGAAAAAGACTTCCCATATTCTTTACCCACAAATTGATTACATCTCTTCTCTCTTTAAAGTTACAACATGGCTCTCTTCCTCCCATATTCAACCCTTTTTAAACAGCAAAATTATAAAATACCAATTCATTTTTTCCATTTGCAACAAAAAGGCCATCAGAGATATCCAGTCTTTTACAAAAGTTCTGGTTGTCTTATCCCTGATCAGAGGTCAATTTCACTATTTCTCAAATTCTGCCATGTTCAAGATCAGGTTGTACAGCTCTGTGCCAGAATAAACAACACAATCCAAAGAGATTGTAAATTCCCCATGTGTGAAGCCTGTCAGGGGCTTTTAATTGCCACTGAGGCGATGAGTGCCTTTGTATCCCTCAAATCCTCTTGAATCTTCATATTGTCATCTAAACCAGTCTTTCTCAACCTTACCAACTCTATGGTGGATGGACTTCCATCTTTGCTGGCTGGGGAATTCTGGGAGTTGAAGTCCACCCATTTTAAAGTTGCTGAGGTTGAGAAACACTGATCTAAACATAGCTCAGTGTCTAGGGAGATTCTCAGTCATCCAGGTCATGGTTGTCCCAAAGGTGCTTTGGGACTGATCTAAATACTTGAGTTTTTCCACAGCTTCTGTTGTGTTGTTTGCAAATGCAACAACTATATTTTCTAATCTTTCCTCCAAGTGACTTATAAATCTATTGAGTAGTAGAAAACCTAGAAAAGATTCCTGCCCCTCCCTGCTTTACTCGTGGCTCAAACCTACTGCTTAGTCATCGGTTCCAGAGTTTTGGCCAGGAATCACGTCGAGCTAGATCAGTGAGTGCCCAAACTGCAACCCCAAACCCACTTATATATTGCTGGGTGCCAGGTGGGTGTGGCCCACTGGGTGTGCGTGGCTGTGGTGGTCATGGCAGACTGGGTGGGTGTGGCCAAGGTGGGCATGGTCACCTCAATATTACTTGTGGTGAGGGACCCCTGTGGGGGCCGGGCAGGGTTAGGGGAGATCCAGGGGGTCTCTGACAGGTGGGGCGGTGGGCAGGAGGCTCGTCCTGCGGGATGAGGCAAGGCAAGGCGAGGCAGGGCAGGGGTGCCATTGCCGCAGGGCAAGACGGGCCAGGGGTGGCTGTTGCCTGACACCATCGGCCCCCGCACACAGAGGCCAGCGAGCACATGGGGGCCAACGGTGTCCGTCAGCAGCCACAGCCTGCCGGTCCCTCGACCAGCGCACTCTGGGACTCCGCAGCCCGCCGCCAGCAGTTCAGAGAAGCATAGATGCAGTGGGTCGTGCCGGGAAAAAGTAGAGCATGCGAGGCCAGGAGGATGGGACAGGGGGGAGGGAAACCAGCCATGCTGGGATGCATCTGGCCATGTGGGACCTCGGCGAGTTAGCGGGCGGCTGATTGAAGAGGGACGGTTACCATCTCCGGGGCATGGCGCACCCACAGAGAGGGCTCTGAGTGCTGCCTCTGGCACGCGTACCATAGGTTCCCCACCACTGAGCTAGATGGTGCTTTGCTCTCCGCTCTTTCCCCCTCCCCCTTTTCGAAAGTGGGGCAGCTTTCGCTGAACCTTCCATGCTTCCTCAGATGCCACCAAAAAGTCCTCCAAGAGAACCCCCACGGGTCCCTTTGTGCCTCTTGAACAATCTGATTTTGGAGCTCTAACTAAGCCCATTTGCAGCAGTCGGGACACCACAACCTCCCTTTACTGCCTTTTCTTTCCCACTCCCTCCTTTTCTCCACCTTCCTACTTCGAGCCCTTTGAATGCAATCCCCCCAGAGGAGAAGCCGGAAGCCAGGTAGGAATTGTGCCCTCTCCCCACCTTGCTTTCCCCTCTTAGCAGCCGCCCACCCCTCCCTCCCTCCCTCCCTCCTCCTGGTGTTACCCCCTTCGAGCCAAAAGGGGCTTTTATTGCTTTCGGCTTCCCTTGTGAGCTCTGCTCCTTTGGCCCTTCAGGGGCTCCGACTTCCTGCCTTAGCTGCTGCCTGACAGGCTTCCTCGGGGTTTACAGCCGTCTCCTTGTCCCTTCGGCCTCTTGGGTGGGTTCCTCAGCTGCCTGCTAGTTTCTCCCTCATTGGTCGGCATCTTCCTTTTGACAGGCTCTCTTGCGCTCCCTTTATCTGAGAAATTGTGTCCATAGGATCCTGCCTGGGATTTCTCTAAGCTTGTTTTTTATCTCCTCCATGTTTTCCCCACAAGTGCAGGGTCTGCCTTTTGTTTGTCTGTTTGCTTGACCAATCAAGTATTGATCCATTGGTTGAGTAAGGAGGAGGATTGACTGGCGTCACCTGAGCCTGATGTCTTGGGCTAAGAGAGAGGGTCTGACACAGGGTCATCCAACTGGCTAAGGCAGGACCAGGACGCTCCCTCTCCCGGTTTCTAGCTGCGTCCTTGACTGCTAGCTAGGGGTGGGCAACCAGAGCAACTCCATGACCTGTGGACTTTAGCCCCCAGAATTCCTGAGCCAGCATGGCCAATTGCACAAGTCTTAAGGTTGCCAAGCCTGGAGATTGCTGACCTTGAGGAACGGGAGGAAGAGTTGTCAACAAGACAATGGTCAGAGAGAAGAAATCTGAGTCTGGGCCGGAACTGAAACCTGCAAAAGGTCTCAGAGAAGACCCTCCTTGGTTCTCTTGAAGATAATGGGAGGGAGGGTTGAAAGAAGGGGCTTCAGACTTGCAGGATTCTGTTACTGTGACTTCAGAATAAAAGTAGTCTTAGCCTGCTTGATGCTGGTGGCTTCCTAGTCTGGTCTAATTTGACATCACTGGGCTAAAACAGAGTTGCGAGTATGCAGCTGGTGTCTTCACACCTTCCAGGAATTAGAGAACTTAATGCTGTCTTTAAGATTTATTCATTTGGTGGCAACACATTAAGTGAATCCAACGATTCTGGATTGTAAGCTGCTTGTAAGATCCTTGTAAGCCTCTCAGAGTCACCAAGAGTGAGTTGGGTGGCCGTGTACATCGGTGTTTCTCAACCTTGACCATTTTAAGGCATGTGGACTTCAACTCTCAGAATTCCACAGCCAGCAATGCTGGCTGTGGAATTCTGGGAGTTGAAGTCCACATGCCTTAAAATGGTCAAGGTTGAGAAACACTGGTGTACATTGTCTTAAATAAATAAATTGTATCTCAAGATCAGAGGGGGACAAGGACCCCTCTCTGAGGCAGCCATTTTCGGTCTCTTCCAGGGAGGATCCCTGGAGGGTGGCAAAGATGGTGAAGTCCTACCTCCAGCAGCACAACATCCCTCAACGGGAGGTGGTGGACACCACGGGCTTGAACCAGTCCCACCTCTCCCAGCATCTCAACAAGGGCACCCCCATGAAGACCCAGAAGAGAGCCGCCCTGTACACCTGGTACGTTCGCAAGCAGCGAGAGGTGGCCCAGCGTAAGTACAGCAACCAGCAGCAGGTCTCTTCCCAAGACCCCTCCGTGTAGACCAGGGGCCAGCTGGGACTCTGGGAGGTGTCTCTGCTCCAAGATGCCCAGGTTGGAGGCATTCCTCCTTTGAGCAAAGTTTCCTAGCTCAGAGGAGGGAGACAGTGCCCTAGGCCAGTGGTTCTCAACCTTTCTAATGCCATGACCCCATAATACAGTTCCCCATGTTGTGGTGACCCCCAAGTGGGTGTGGCCACTAATAAGAGGGAGTAGGACAGCTAGGGAAAAGGGAAAAAAATGGCGGACAGTGTGGTTTGGCGACCCCCGTGAAATGGTCTTTCGACCCCAAATGGGGTCCCGACCCACAGGTTGAGAACCACTGCCCTAGGCAGACCCCATCTGGGCAGGTCTTCCTCTTCTGGGGCTGAGGGCTGCTGTGGGCAGAGGATTGAGGCGGGAGGCTGGCTGGGCCTGGGGGAGGCTCCTGCTTCAGGGTCATGAGATGCTCTGAGCCAGTTCTGAGGCTCAAGGGCTCTTTTGTCTTAGCTTCTCATTTCAGCAGGAAATGGCCAGATGTTAGCCACATCTGCTAATGGGTGGAGAGTGTATTATTATTATTGCCCCCTCCTGGATTGCAAGATGGGCAGAAAACGTTTCTTGTGGAAATGCAGTAACATGCCATCCTCTGGATCTGAAATCCTGATCCTTGCAAACTTTTTTTTTGGGGGGGGGGAAATCTGCAAATGTCACTCTGGAAGTCTGTACCCCCCCCCCAAAAAAAGATGATGGGGTCAAGACAGAGGAATAGGCAGCAAACTCACCACACTTGGGTTTAATTTGATTTAATTAAATTGTACATATACATGTAATTAATTTTTTTTAAAAAGAGCTAATATGGGGACTCCATGAGCATTTAATTACGTCCTCACCGTCATGTGTGTAAAATTACCTAGCGTCGCTCATACACCGCAAGATGATGGATTTTAGAGGTGGGATCTCAATCAGGGCTCCCATTATTCCCAATTTATTGTTGGGGTGGGGTGAAATTGTGAATTTTTAATCGTGAATAATTAATGTTGTTAAGGTGACCAACTTTTTTACAATGAAAAGGAGGACACAAATAAATTGAAGAAAAAAATATCGTAAATAAAAGAAACATTTTATTCATTGCAACAATAATACAGACAACTTGCATGTGCAAAGCTTGCCGGCCGGGTGTTTTGGCGCGCTCAGCAGCAATTCCTATTGGCTTTAGAACGCCAATAGCGGGAGTAGCACAGCTCATGCAAAAGTTGAAAAAAAAAACATCAAAAAAAGGTGCCCGAACGCCGTTCTGAGTGTTCTATGAGAAAAAAAAAGCCCTGCAGATTAGTCTTCAAATATGGAAAAGGAGGACATGCAGGAGGACACTTTTCGAGGGAGGACAGAACTCACAAAAGGAGGACTGTCCTCCCTAAAGGAGGACGGTTGGTCATCTTAATGTTGTGCACTGCCTGGAGTCTCTCTGTTGAGCTGGGTGGCCATAGAAATGTGCTTAATAAATAAATAAGACTGAATGAATGAGTCCCAGCCAGCAGTAGCCTTTGGTCTTGGAGGGAACAGATGGGGGGGAGCAGGCTGAGAAGAGAAGCAACTGGAAAATAAGATCTCAGCTCTCCGGCTCAAGAAAACCCGACAAAGGAGCCGCTTCTGCTCTCGTCTCTCTCAGCCATCCTTTGTGTTCCAGTCCTCCCCCATCGATCCCTTCCCAGGGTCTCTGAGGAGCCCAACCCTCTTTTTGCCTTTCCAGAATTCACCCACGCTGGGCAGAGTCTCCTGGGAGAGGACCCGATGGGAGAGGAGCTCCCGGCCAAGAAGGGCCGGAGGAACCGCTTCAAGTGGGGCCCGGCATCACAGCAGATCCTCTTCCAAGCCTACGAAAGGCAGAAGAATCCGAGCAAGGAAGAGAGGGAGGCGCTGGTGGAGGAATGCAACAGGTACTGGGGAGACAGACCTTGGGATCCCTCTTGGGAGCCTCCCATAGGCCACCACTGGAAAGGCCCTGCCAGCCAATGGCCTCTTGATCCGGCCCCACAGGATGGAGTCCTTCTCTTTGGGGTCAGCAAGTGAATTCCTCCTCCGTAGGCCAAGTCCAGCAGTCTAGATACCAGCTAGGAGGGAGGGTTGAAATGTCATTAATTTCCCTCAGTCAAGCAAGATGATCTGCCCCACGAAAAGGGAGCGAATGCTCCTTCGCCCTCCCGTCTCTCTTTTCTTTCAAATTCACCTTAAACAACCAACCAAACCTGAGCTTGAGGCAAAAAAAGAAAAGGAGGACACTGAAAGATTCAGCACAATCATAGTTAGTTAGATTACAATTAGCAGAGTGCAGAATAAATACACGAGAGCTTCCCTCAGCTATTGGTGGCAAAACCCTTCAAACATTTGTTTTTATTTGGTTTTTTTTTTATATCCTGCTTTTATTATTTTTACAAAGAACTCAAGGTGATGAACACCTTCCTCTTCCAATTTTCCTCACGATAACAGCCCCGTGGATTGGACTGAGAGGGACTGGCCCAAAGTCACCCAGCTAGCCTTTATTCCTCAGGCAGGACTAGAACTCCCAGTCGCCTGGTGAATGGCTCAAAGTCACCCAGTCAGCTTTCATGGCTAAGGCAAGATTTGAATTCATGGTTTCCTACTTTCTAGCCTGCTGTCTTAACCACTAGATCAAACTGGCTCTTTTCCTAATTCTGGAGAAGCATTTCAATGACAATCTGTCTGTTCTGAAGACCTGAATCTTGCGAAATATGCTGGGCTTCTACCTGAGCATTTTGAGGTTCATCAGCACCTGTTCTGGCCCACAGTACTTACCTGCAATTGCATGTTGAGCTGAATAAACCATCTTTTGGGATGGTGGTCACCATGATGTATATTCTTTTTGAGGACCGGTCTGAATAGCTTGCCAAAGTGAGGCATCATATCTCTTGAATCTGGTTCACTTATCGGCTGAATCATAAAACAGTCTGCTGGGTTTGGTTTAATGGGCCATGTAAATCCAGCAATTGTGGCTGATTACTCATAATTTATGGTTTAGCACAAGTGAGGAACGTCTGTGGAAGGAAGCCAATTGTTATAGCCTGAGGTGTGCTTCACATGCTGTGAACTTCTGCCTTGAGCACACCAAGGTTGCATGAGATACCAACCAAGTTATCAACTATCTTTCTCTAGAGACAACCACCGCATATTCTTGGAGGTCACTTTAGCTTTCCTAAACATCACCATTATTTCTCAGCCGTGGCTACTTGAAGATGGGTGGATTTCAATTCTCACAGTTCCACAACCCCAATCTTTAAGTGGCCAAGGTTGAGAAGGTTGAGAAAATTTCCAGTCGCTTGCTGATCCAGGAATTATGTCGGGCCATATTGGGAACATGTCCCATTGGGGAGGCCCCGTGGTTGCGCCACACCTGACCAACCGTGCCTTTCCTTGGCAGGGCAGAGTGCCTTCAGCGCGGCGTCTCTCCGTCCCAGGCCCAGGGACTGGGCTCCAACCTGGTGACTGAGGTGAGGGTTTACAACTGGTTTGCCAACCGCCGTAAAGAGGAAGCCTTCAGGCACAAGCTTGCCATGGACAGCTACAATGGCTCCCAGCCCAGCTCCGTGCCCACCTTGGGGTCTCATGGCTCCTCCTCTCTCCAGCCAGCAGCTCCTCTGTCCCCAGGCAAAGTCCACGGTGAGTGCCAGGTAGGGGGGCAGGGCAGAGGGAGACATTCAGGGTCAGGGACATATGAAGAACATAGGAAGAACAGTTGCTGGAACTGGTTAAGTCTAATTTAATAAAAAGAAAGACTAGGGGGTGACATGATAGCAGTCTTCCAATATCTCAGGGGCTGCCCCAAAGAAGAGGGAGTCAAGCTATTTTCCAAGGCGCCTGAAGGCAGGGCAAGAAGCAACGGGTAGAAACTTAATCAAGGAGAGAATCAACCTAGAACTAAGGAGAAATTTCCTGACAGTCAATACAATTAATCAGTGGAACAACTGCCTCCAGAAGTTGTGAATTCTCCAACACTGGAAGTCTGTGGCCTGCTACCGGTCTGTGGCGTGTTGGGAACCGGGCCACACAGGCAGTGGGCAAGAGAGCAAAGCTCAATTTGTGCAGGCACGGGATTAGGTTGCGCACGTGAAACCATCCCCACCCCCCGCCGCCACCGCTGCCAGTCCGTGGAGCCAGAAAAGTTGTGGCCCGCTGCCCTAATTTGACCGGCATACTTCCCATATAAAAAATAAAACCTATTGAGCGCTTAGTTTCCAAATACTGTTTGCCCCTGGCTGAGCAAGAAGGCACAGGTCAGCCAGCATACCAAAGAGCTATCCAGGGGGCAAACGCATGTGGCAGGAAACCCCCTCCCCAGGTTGCCTTCTGGGGCACGGGTTTTGTCCCTGGCCATGCTCACCAAAGCATCCGTTCGATGTTGCGGTTGTCGTTTCAGAACCTTCTCCCCTCCAGCAGCAGCAGCAGCAGCAGCAACAAGGCCTCTCCTTTTCGGATGCCAGCATGAGGTACGGCCAGCAGCCAGTCAGCGAGGCCAGTTCCTCCAACAACAGCCAGCACAATTCCATCGCCACCACCCAGACCATCCTGCACCAAGCCAGCTCCCCCAGCCTCTGCTCCACCGGGTCCAGCTCAGGACCAGACACCAAGCTGGTGAGTGAAAGGTGCCTGAGACCCTGCTGGGGCCAGAAGGGAGACCCTCTGGCTGGATTCTCAGAGCCGGCCAGTGGGAGAGAGGCTGCCCCCCCCCCCCGGGGAAGGAAAGCTGGGAAGATGGACTGCAGGGAAGCAGCAGCTCCAGGGAAGGTGAGGGGGTAAAGACGAGTCCAGTCCAGAGCTGAAGAGGAAGAGAGTCAGGGTAGCCTTCCAGGATACATCCGCTCTGGTCAGAGGAGTCAAGGTTTAGCCTGGCAAGATTCCACCTATTTGGTATGAGCAAATAAAAAAAATAAACTCTGGCTGGATTGTTCAATGGATGCAAAGTTATCAAGGAGAGAAGCAACCTCTCTATCTATCTATCTATCTATCTATCTATCTATCTATCTATCTATCTATCTATCTATCTATCTATCTATTTATCTATCTATTTACATCTATCTATCTATCTATCTATCTATCTATCTATCTATCTATCTATCTACCTACCTACCTACCTACCTACCTACCTACCTACATCTATCTATCTATCTATCTATCTATCTATCTATCTATCTATCTATCTATCTATCTATCTTTATCTATCTATCTATCTATCTATCTATCTACCTATCTTTATCTATCTATCTATCTATCTATCTATCTATCTATCTATCTATCTATCTATCTATCTATCTATCTATCTACCTATCTATCGGATCTCCTGCTTGAGTAGGGGGTTGGACTAGAAGACCTCCCTTCCGTTATTCTGTTATTCTTTTCCCACATCATTCTTGGGCTTCGCTTGACAGCCAAGAAGCCAAGGGGAGGGTCCTAAGCCAAGGAGAAGGACCCCTTGCAGTTTCTGCCATCCTTTGTGGGTGCCTCTTGAGGGCTCCCCTCCTGGGATGTGCCATTTACAAACGGCAGATGATTAAAGGAGTGTTACCGCTACGCTCTGATCACCCAGCACATTGATGTCCAAGCTGGGTGTTGACTCTAGCACAAGAGGAGAAGGACCAGCTGGGGTCAAGCAAAGGATGGCAGAGACCATTGACTTAAAGCTCTCCGGGCACTACCATGGTCCCCAGACACCTGCTGGGCTCCAAAGGGCCCTGAGACTTTTTGGCTTTCTTCCTGTCCCACAGATCTCTGCTCCAGGGGGCTCGCTCCCCCCCGTCAGTACCCTGACAGCCCTGCACAGCCTGGACTCCAACCCACACGCTCTGAGCCATCAAACACAGAACCTCATCATGACCTCCCTCCCGGGGGTCATGGCCATTGGCCCTGGAGACACATCTTCGCTTGCACCCACGTTCACCAACACGGGGGCCTCCACCTTAGTCATTGGTAAGTAAGGAGGCGTTGGCTGTGGAGAGGGGGCTCAGTATAGGCAGCACGAAAGGAGCTGGCCCCCAGGGTCGTGCAGGGCAGCCCCTTCTCCAGGAGCCACGCCCTCTGTTGCCCAGCTGGGCATGTCTTTCTTACTGGCAGGGGCTGCCCATAGCTTGAGGCCTTCCAGCCGAGAGAATATTTTTGGGTGGAAAATATTATGACCACTGAGCTCAGCCTTTATCCAAAGGAACCAGTGAAATAGTCAAAGGTGCCGCACTGAGATTTGTGGCCCAGGTTAATAATAGGTTTGCATATGTGGGTGCCTTCATACATTCCATTAAGCCACGATTCATTTTAACCAGCCTTTGAGTTTGTCCATGTGCATAACAGGATCCTATAAACCATGGTTTATTGATCGAGAGCCTGGCACTCTATGAAAAGCCATGGGCTTCAGTTCCATGGCTAGTCTCTCAAGCTACACTAAGCCAATTTGCATGGTTGGTTGAACAAGCCATCATGTCGTCAGTAAGCTAGTCACCCAATTTTGTACAAAAGAATCTGCTAGGTCACAGTGTTTCCCAAACTTGACAATTTTAAGGCATGAGGACTTCAACTCCCAGAATTCTGGGAGTTGAAGTCCACATGCCTTAAAATTGTCAAGTTTGGGAAACACTGTGCTAGGACAACACCAAGCAGATGGGTTAGCTTGGGTTAGCATGATGATGAACCCATCCAATTGTGTGGCGCTGCGCATGAGGGTTGTGGGTTCAGGTCTAAGGAGGAGTCACTGGGGGTTTGACAGCCAGGCACCCGGGTGCTGCAGCCTGGCAAGCTCTGGGGAACGCTCAGCCTGAGGAACGCTCTCCTGTCTCCCAGGTCTGGCTTCCACGCAAGCGCAGAATGTCCCTGTGATCAACAACATGGGCAGCAGCCTCACCACCCTGCAGCCGGTCCAGTTCTCCCAGCAGCTGCACCCGTCCTATCAGCAACCAATCATGCAGCAGGTCCAGGGTCACCTCAACCAGAGCCCCTTCATGGCCACCATGGCCCAGATCCAGGCTCCTCACGGTAAGTTGGGAAGGGAGGGCTCCATGCCAGGCACCCTTACTGCACCTTGGGGCTGATGGAAAGAAGGACCTTCCAGCTTGTCCCTCAAGGTCTCCATTGCTCACGGTGCCTCCACTATTCCCAGCCCTCTATAGCCACAAGCCAGAGATGACCCAATATGCGCATACCGGCCTTCTACCCCAGACCATGGTGATCACAGATACGGCGAACCTCAGTACCTTGGCCGGCCTGATGCCAACCAAACAGGTGAGGGGGTACTGTGGGGGAGCACAGCTGAAGGGATCCCAAGGGGCCAATACCCATGTGCTCCCAGCGGCCACAGAGAACAAGCTGAGCCGAATCACAGGGAGTCTGCTTCTGCAGCCTAGGCCCAAGAGCAGGGGCCTTCGTACTTGGCCCTTTTATGACTCGTGGACTTCAACTCCCAGAATTCCTCAGTCAGGCACGCTGGCTGAGGAATTCTGGGAGTTGAGGTCCACGAGTCATAAAAGGGCCACGTTTGAAGACCCCTGCCCAAGAGGCAGGTATCTCTTGGGGGGGGGAGAAACTAATCCTACGGTTTCTTCTGCAAAACAAGAAACCAGTATGTAAACCGGGAGCAAACCCCACTCTCTTTTACCACTGCTAATGTTACCCAGGTGGGTAACAAAACATCTGCGAGAAAACAAGCAAGCTCAGAAAGCACCAAAGTTCTAACAGTTCAACCCTGAGCTGCAAATACGCCCTTTTGTAAGAAAGCAGCGGTTTGCAAAAACAAGTAGATAACACTGCTAGCCAAACACAAGTGTGAGTTTAACCGCCTGAAGTTAAATCTCTTGTTCCCGCAAAATTTTGCATCCCAAGTTTCAAATGACAGAATTTGGGGTCATTTCTGGAGGGTTTTCTTAGGGCAGTGGTTCTCAACCTTTTTAATGCCGCGACCTCCAACCAGTCGTAAGTCGAGGACTACCCAACTGGTCGTAAGTCGAGGACTACCCAATTGGTTGTAAGTCGAGGACTTTCCCTGCCTGGGAGCACCGCACATGCATGGTGCCACCCACTGTGCCGGCTGAGGCGTAGCTGGCAAGCAGCAGAGATGGCGCAGGCCAACCACCATCTGGACCACCAGCTGGCCCAGCCCAAGGGAGGTAAGGCACCCACTGGGCCCCACACGCGCCAGCAACCCTCCCTGCACCCGCCGGCCTCCCACCTCTCACCCCTGGCCCTCTTTTCCTTACATTTTTAGTAGTTGCTCAGCAGGGAGGGGTGGAAGCTTCCAGACAGCTCGCCTTCGCTGCAGACAACTTGCAGCACCGTTTGCAGAATGGAACTTTTGGTGGGCTCAGCAGGGCAGAGACAGCCTGGACAATTCCTATTGGCTTTGGAAAGCCAATAGAATTAGACTCTATTCAAGAGAGTCTATTCTATTGGCTTTCAAAAGCCAATAGAATAAAAGGGAGTAGCACAGCTAAGGAAAAGGGGGGAAAAATGGCGGACTGCGTTGTTTGGCGACCCCCGTGAAATGGTCATTCGACCCCAAATGGGGTCCCGGCCCACAGGTTGAGAACCACTGTCTTAGGAGATGAAGCAGAAATGGAAGCATTTTCCCTCCACGGAGACCCTGCTCTCCTTCCCCCCCTTAAGGTTAAACATCCCCCCTCCCCCATATTGGTGCTGCTTTATCTGGCAAGGCGGCTTTGTTCCTGCAAGGTATCCTACAGTTCTTTGGTTGGCAGGGGGAGCAAGTTGGATTTTATCCATTTATTCAATGTATATATGCTGCCCATCTGATTGTCAAGCCACTCTGCCCTCTTCAGCTAACAAAAGGTGGCCTACTCTTGCTTAAATGGCTTGAGTGAGCACAGGAAATGTGCCCAAGGCGGGTTTTCCTTGGCCATAAAAAGCTGAGATATTGCTAGATGGAAGACAAGAGAAGACGGAGCCTCCTCCGTAATGCCACCCAGTTACTTCCTGTCTTTAAAAGGTTTCAGAGCTCATTCTTTCCTAGCTTTATGGCCAGCTTTGTCCCTTTGATCTTCTCCTCCCAAGTTTTAAGATTAGAAGATCAAAGGCCAAGGGTGGCAAAATTGCCTTTTTCTTTTTTCTTACTGATTTTATGGTATTGTGAAGTTTAATTTGCTTTTTAGATGGAATGCTATTTTAAGATCTGTGCACGCTTTGAAAAGGATTCAGAAGGCCTTTGCAAGTGGAAGCAAAGCTGCTCCTGATTATTCATTCAAGCAGCTCCTCTTTTTCAGGCTGCAGTCAACTAGTTAATCTGAATGCAATTCTTTAAAGCAGGTGCTAACTCTTTCCTCCCCCCCCCCCAGAAGCTGAGGGAGGGGGGAGGCAGAGAACCCAGCTGCTTTAAAGGAGAGGAAGGAGCTGAATGAAGAAGCAGGAAATGTTAAGTGGAGCTTGCCTGCAAAGTTGGGGCCAACAATTTCCTGGCCAACCAAGGTGGGATTTCTAAAAGGCAAATTGTAGATGCTAAAAGCATCTTGCAAATTGCAGAGGCACCAAAGGCCATTAATGGGAGCTCCGACATCTCTTTGCCCTTTCAAGACGTCCCAGGCTTCTCTTGCTGACCACTCGCTCCTGGGGAGAATCCAGGCAGGCAGCTTTCCTGGACTGCATGCCAAGCAATAAGTTTAGCTGAGGCAATGGAAGCAGCAGAAAAGTTAATGGAAATGGACCATTTAATGCTAGTTCCTGATTTTAACCAACAAATCTGAGCATAGGCAAATGTGCGTCTTGGACTTTAATGAATTCGAACTAGGTTCAAAATAGAACAATGATAAATAGGACACGTAGCAGGAGAGAGAAATGGGAAGAGGACTTCAGGATGGACAGCTGCTCCTAACAGAGGAGATTTTAAAAGTGCCGTTACAAATAAATCAAGTGAAGGAAATAGAAAAGAAGAACACAGCCACACAAAAAGGCCGAGTGAAGATCTGAAGAGAAAAAAGACACTTTCGGGAAATGGAAAAGCAGGCCATTCTCCGGGAAGCGTCCAACTTTAGAGAGAGGAAAGTGAATGCTCCAAATAAGATGAGCTTTAGTGAAGGACGAGAAGGACAAAAAAGGCTTGTTTGGGTATGTTGAAAAGAAAGGAACTGGGTAAGAATAAATTTAACAGTTGCCCAAATGCTGGTAAATAATGAAAAGCTTTGGTTCAGTCTTTCTCGACAAACAGCTGTGTGGAAATCTGAGGAGCAGGATGGGTTAAAAAAGGGGCAGGAGGAAATAATATAAGCTACTACAGAAATATAAGCTACTACAGGGCATGAGTTGCAGTCTCTAGGGCAGTGATGGCAAACCTTTTAGAGACCGAGTGCCCAAACTGCAACCCAAAACCCACTTATGCATCGTCGAGTGCCGGGTGGGTGTGGCCCATTGGGTGGGTGTGGCCCATTGGATGGGCGTGGCTGCAGTGGTAACAACAGACTGGGTGGGACTAAAAAGTTCAACCAATCAATTCCAACTTTGCAAGATGTTTTTTTCCCGCAAGAAGTTGAAATTGCCTGATTGAACCTCTTTTTTTTTTTGCACACGGTGGCGGAAGCCTAAATCGAAAAAGTTTTATAAAACCCAGCTGAAGGTCTAAGACAGGGGCGACAGAGCGCGTGCCCACACAGAGGGCTCTGAGTGCCGCCTCTGGCACCCGTGCCATAGGTTCGCCACCACTGCTCTAGGACCAGACACAGTGCGTCTCTGGATACTGAACAGCAGAGGGGCTGTCACTCTGCAAGATTCAAAGCATTTCTTCTGAATGTTTGGGATCAATGTTAGTTTCTAAGTTAAGCTTGACTAAAACAATTTTGCTGTTTATCCGAAATTCTGTCTTCTACTGTGCTGCGTCTCACAAGTAGCTTAGGCAAGCTTTGTCACCGCCTTTGCGTGGTCCTGTGATTTCCTCCCCCCCCCCCCAGATCTTCACGTCAGACTCAGAGACTCCCACGGAATCTGGGATCCCAACCAGCCAGCCTTCAGTCCTCTTGCAGGGCCAGGAAAGCTCCATCCAGTCGCACCTTCAGTCGGGCTCCCGCCTGACCTCCAGCCCCCCCGGTAAGTGGCAGCGTCTTCTAGGACAGGGCTTTTCAAACTTTTCACCCATTGTACCACTTTTAGGATATGGCAATATCCGAGTACCACCAGTCGCCTAGCAAGGGGTCAAAAACTTGATGACCAAAAAAAAAAGGAAAAAAGTGATAAAGTACAGGTAGTCCTCGACTTACAACAGTTCGCTTAGTGACTGTTCGAAGTTTTACAATGGCACTGAAAAAAGTGCCCCCCAAGCCATAGCCGAGCAAGACGCCTGCCTGCCCGCCCGGCCATGCTCTTCCTCCTGTCCGAGGTTTTCATTGTTGTGAGCATTTCTGTTGAGGATTGGCAGTGGAGGTGGGGTGAGGGTGTTTGGTTTTTATTCCCCCGATCTGCTGGATGGTTGCAGCAGGTTTTGGTCACTTCACATGACCCTGGGACACTGTGGCCGTCATAAATATGAATCAGTTGCCAAGCATCTGAATGTAAATCACAAGACCCTGGAGATGCTGCAACATTCCAGCTGATCGGCGCTTCTTCTGGGCTCAGCAGAGGCACCAGGATCAGCGCTGCTTTCCAGCTGATTGGTGCTTCTTCTGGGCTCAGCAGACGCACCAGGATCAGCGCTGTTTTCCAGCTGATTGGTGCTTCTTCAGGGCTCAGCAGAAGCACAAGGATCAGCACCGAACTCCAGCTGGAGCCTGGCGCTGATCCTGGCACTTCCGCTGAGCCCTGACTGCCCTGCAGCTCCAGCCATCTCTCGCTCAGGCTTGTGCGGTGCTACTTGTGCGGTTCAGCTCATTCCCCTCCCCCACTATCACTTTTCTAGGTTGGTCGCGTACCACCTGCCAGGTGCCAATGTACCACAGGTGGTACCCGTACCACTGTTGAAAAGTCCTGTGCTAGGAGATATTCCATTCCTTAGTACAGTGATGGCAAACCTTTCAGAGACCGAGTGCCCAAAACCTGCCCCCCGCCCCTGCTCCGTCTCCCGCCCTGCCTGCTCCCCCCCTGCCCCGCCTGCCCGCAGGGCCATGCACCGCCTCCATGGCCTGCAGCAGATCGCCCAGGCAGCCCTGTAGCACCATGGCAGCCACGCTCTCCACCCACACTCTACAGCATCATCTGCCCGCTATGGGGGCATGAGGGGGGTGTCTTGTCCCTGCTTCCCAGCTATGTTCTTGGCTGCGCTGCCTGGGGGGGGGGGCGACTCTCCTCCAGGGGGGCTGCTGGTGATGAAGGAGCCATGGGGGGAGGCAGGGCTGGGGCAACGGAGTGTGTGTCCACAGAGAGGGCTCCGGGTGCCACCTCTGGCACGCGTGCCATAAGTTCGCCACCACTGCCTTAGTAGATCCCAGAACGTTTTATTCAAAGCCATTTGCACTTAGGACCATCGGGTTCGTTTAATGACCCCTGCAAAAAGGGTATAAAATTGGGCTGACCCATTTTATGACCCTTGTGATGTATGGCCATAATGGAGAGCTTCATTGTGGTCATAACCCGAGGACTACCTGGAGGCCATAATGCAGTCAGCAGTTCCTATTGCATAGGTGGTGAGAGGGTCCCCGAGTACAAAAACATTTTTAAAACTCTGTTTTTGATCGCTTCTCAATCGAACGCAACACCTTAAAGTGCAGTCATACAGCACAAAGGCCCAGCAGCTGCTTTCAGAGAAATGGTACATTTGGTTATCTTTAGTCTTGGGAAAAGAAATTGTGGCCAACCATGCAGAACCCCAGCCATCTGTGTGTGTATATACACACAGCCACTCCATCTGGACCGAGTGTGCAAATATATGCAGACAGCTGGAGGAGGTGTGCAGAGAGAAGGCATCCCCACCTCTGGGGCGTTAAGGCTTTGAGATGCTGGCAGCCCCCTCCCTTCCAAGTGCTCCCCACAGCACTAAAAGAAATGAAAATGGGCAAGCTTTGCCTTCAGCAGCCTGGGATGAATGATGGCAATGGGAGACCCTCCTTCGCTCCCGGGGGATCCACTTAGCGATGGGGCAGCCTCTCAAAAGAGTCACCGTCACCTGCCAGAATGGGAGCTTCAGCTTTTCTGATGCCACCAACAGTCCGCCATAAACTCTGCTGGGAATAAAACACGCCGTCTATCACAGGGTTTTTTTTTTTTAAATAATCTTTGTGTTTTTTAATTAGCCAATGAAATGTGACTTGGATGCTTTGGGGGTAGGGTTAGGGTTAGGGTTAGGATATGATATGTGCCCAGGATATGATCAATCTGGGAGAGAGAGAAAAGCAAGAAAAATGAAGGAACTAAAAACTAGAAATGAATAGAGAGTAAAGGATCTAGAAATGTTTAGGCTTGGGAACTCAATAGCACTCTTCAAATACTTTCTTTTATCACACCGAAGAAGCCCAAAAGTTATTCTTTAACATCTCAAACAGGAGATTGCAGAATAATGGATTTAACTGGGAGGAAGGCAGATTCTAGGTGAAAGTTCATGAAGAAAAATCTAATGTTAATACCAATTTGACAGTTCTCAGTAAGGTATTACATTCTCACATGCTGGATATATTTAACTGGAAACTAGGTAGCTCCTTACTCTGGATGCTTAATTGGATTTCTGTATGGAGCAGGGGAATGGAATCAGTGGCCTTCAACACTCTTGCCAGCTCTATAACTCTGTTAAATATTAGGCTCTGAGAACATTTAGTGAAATTGAATAATGGGATTTTTTAAAAAAAAATAGAAAAGGGATCCCATTCTACTGCATATTTCACTGTGGATTGTGAAGAAACGAAAAGCTCCTTGTGCGATGAGTTCACCTGCTCTTTCTGCTCCCCCCAAACAGTCTCCTCCGGCAGTTTGGTGCTTTACCAGAGCTCCGATTCCACCAACGGCCACTTGCTGCCCTCCACCCACGGCGTGATCGAGACCTTCATCTCCACCCAAATGGCTTCCTCCACACAATAACCCGGCTGGCCACTTGGACATTCAGCAGCCCTTGCCTGAAGCTCGGAGGCCTTCTCCTGCAGCCGCTCCTGGGAGGGAAGGCCAGTCCGGGCCCCTGGCTGCTTCCTCTGCCAGGATTTGTATGGCTGTTTCTCCCCCACCCCACCCCACCCCCATGCTGTAATTTCAGAACTCCAAGCAAAAATGTGCACCAAGCAAAGAGGAGGCAGAGATGGAGCTTTTGCGCTGCTGAGAAAAGCTAGAGAAAGCAGACCGGAAGAGTCTGCAGTGGGCCACCTTCTTTGATCTGGGGCTGGCTGCTGAGGGACAAGTGATGGAGGAGTAGAAGAGCAGCGAGGCTCCTTCTGCTCTTCAGATGGGCTCCCAGAACAAGTCTCGGAGGAAGGACAAAGCAGAGTTGGAGCAAGGAGAGAAAAAAGGGAGCACTCATCCGCCGTAAAGGATGCAGAACAGGTGCACACCTGGGGCACTGAGCCTTGGGGAACTTGCTGTCCAGCCAGACTGAAGATGGCTCTGGTTGCAGGGAGTTCCTGGCTGGTCCTTGGCCCACAGGCAACCCCTCAGGCTCGGCCCCAGGTGGAAACGGCAAGGAGAGCGGTCCTGTTGCCAAAGGTCTGAACCAGGCAGGCGATATTACATGCTTGCGCATTAGTGCAAGGCCCTAGGAATCTGCTCTGGCAGCAGTCAAGCATGACAGCTGCACCCCATAAACAGAATGCTGTTTTCAAATTTAAATTAAAAGACACACTCATAATAGAGGTAAGAGCCCAAGTAAAACATGGACCTTCAGTTTAAAGGCAGAAGGTATTGGCATGTCAGAGAGGTCCCCAACCTTTTGGGCACCAGGGAGAGAGATTTTTGCGTGGACCGGAGTGGGTCTGGTTTTGTGTGCTGCCTGCATTCCGTGGATGGGGCTTTGCTTGTTTGTGCGGACCGGTTGCTGGCACGCCATGACCCAGTATTGGTCCACGGACCGGGGGTTGGGGACCCCTGATTGTAAGAGACTCGTCTCCCATTTTAGAGATGAGCACACCAAATAACTTGTCCTCATGATGTTAGTAAAAATAGCAATAAATCCTCAAAGAGGATGAACTTCGTTTCTATAAATTGCTTAGAAACAAAGGCACTCTTGCTGCTGCCCCAAGTCAAAGAATTTGAGACCACTTGCATTCCATGAGCTTTTTTCCATCTGCACCTGATCTGCCTCACCCCCCCCCCCTGGATTCAGAAGATTCCCCCCCCCCAGGTGCTAGGTTAGTTATGTAACACAGCCTCTGACTGGGCATAATTTGAACCAGTTGCAGAAACGGGCATTTCTTTTCACGTGTTTATTTTTGAAGCACCAAATACTGGTGCTCATCTTGGAAACAGACTTTGGGGACACCAGCCCAGTGGCCAGAGGTAGACCCAAAGGTTACGTGTGTCTGCCATCACCGGCAACAGCTAAGACAGCCAATTAGGCCACTTCTCAAAATGCACAATTCAAACTTCCTTCGTGGTGAATGTTAGGGGATCTGCTAGCTTACACTTGGCCTCACTGGAGATCAATGTCTCCACACAAAACAGGCAAAGCCAAGATCTTTCTGTTGTTAGGAGAAACCACAAATTGTCCACATGGAAGAAGCTAGAAGGAAAAAAACCAGAGGGAAAATTACTGGTCAAGTCAGAGTGAAAAAGGAAATCAGAAATTAACTAGGCTTAAGTCTAGTCTATGCATCCAGACTGCACTTATTTGAGGCCCAAATACTATTTACTGAGCTTTTGAATCTTGTAAATAAGTAGCCAAATTTATCCATTTGGATATTTTAAGCTCTAGGAAATTTGACTTGCAGAATCAAGACCCTCTTCAATTCTATTTTGTAAATATATTTAACTTTTGGTCAATCAAACAGGCGAGACGCTGTATCCGAAATATTGTATATTGGCTATTCACAAAATAACCATCTCATAGAAACTGGAACCATATCTGTAAAAGAGACTCATGTTATTCTTCAGACGGACGAGGTGAGGAAACAGAGAAGATGCCATGGCTGCTCTCCAGGTGACCCACAAAGGTTGTCAACACTGCCCCCCCAGGTCCTGCAGCTCCAAGAGATGCTGGGGCTCACCTCAGAAAGCAGCCATCAGGGGTGTCCACTTTGATGGGATGCAAGGAACGCCAGCCCGCTCTTCCTCCCAATTTGTCACGCTACCCAGGAGCCCCAACAGCCCGCCTGATCTATCCCAGACCCACCAAGAGAACAGTAGTCGGAGCAGCTGTTTTCCATTACCGAGAGAGTCCCTTCATTTTCCCAGGGTGCACAGCCAAACCAGGCCCAACTCAGGAGCCCCCTGTAAGTAACTCCCCCTGGCACATAAGTATTAGAGCAGGAGTGTCAAACTGCCGGCCCGCAGGCTATATGCGTCATGGCAAAACCGCGCCCACCCCATTGCCGGCAATGGAAAAAAAGTCGCGAGACGTCACGTGACGTTGCAAGTTTGACACCCCTGCATTAGAGGGATGGTCGTTCTGTTCCTGCTCCTGTTTTCCTCCTTTTCCTCTTTCTCTGCACCATCTCTGTCCGACTGACGGCCTCTGGCCTGCTGGGACACGAGAGGTCCTTGTTCTGGCTATTATTTGCTGCTTCAATGGCCTCTGGCTGGCCACCCGCCTCTCTTTTCCCTTTCTTCTTCTTCTTCTTCTTCTTGACTTTTTTCCATCCGGCCTCTCTTGTGTGACCGGAGTCCTGGGCCACTGGCGGTGACAGGCCACTTTGCTTCAGGATGTCTGCTGCTGTCACCGCAGCTTCTTGGCATTTCTGCCACTCTGTGTCACTTTCCAGGCCACTGGAAGAATCACAAGCAACGCTGGAGAAAAAACAACAACAGAATTACGTTTTCTCCTACGGTCAGCTGACCTATATCTATTTATTACTGGCTTTACAATTCTTAGACTGAAAAGGTGCACTATTACGAAAGAGGCAGATATACACGGGGAGGGGGGTATATTAATGAAACCATATTAACAGCTGGAAGACCAGCTGTTTCATTCCTTTATGAGTGAGTCATGCTGACATCTTTAATCAAGTTATTCAACCAATATTCTTTGTGCAGCACCCAACCTCATGCGCTGAGTTCGCACAATAGGCTTGGCTAAAATGTGCTTCTTATCCTGGGTGGACACAATCCTACCATGCTGCGCTAAGCAAAGGTAACATCAGATTGGCATCAGTTAAAATCTACTGCCTTGGTTCACATCACCCCCTAAGCCAGGGGTCCCCAACCTTGGCCACTTTCAGACTTGTGGACTTCAACTCCCAGAATTCCCCAGCCAGCGTTGCTGGCTGGGGAATTCTGGGAGTTGAAGTCCACAAGTCTGAAAGTGGCCAAGGTTGGGGACCCCTGCTCTAAGCCACGGCTTAAAAACGACCAAGGCTACCTCCGTTCGGTTCAAGATTATTGCTTGACACAGTATACGAATCAGTTTGGTTCAGTGGTTAAGGCACCAGGCTAGAAGCCAGGAGACCTTGAGTTCTAGTTCTGGGCGACTTTGGGCCAATCATCAGGAGAGAAGTGAGTTTTAATCCCTCCATAGGCATGAAGGGCGCCTGGAGGACTTTGGGCCGATCACCCAGAAGATGGTGGCTTCTAATCCTGCATGAAAGCCACCCGGGTACCTTTGGGCTAGTCCTTCTCTCCCAGCCCAGCACACCTCACCGAGTGGTGGCTGTGTGGAAAATAGGAGGAGGAAGGGAGTATCAGTATATTTGCCACCTTGAGTTGCATGAGATATACAGAAAGAAATACAATAAAATGAACCCAGAAGGGCAAGGAACTCTTCAGCCAGCAGGCTGCCTGAGCCAGCCTCAAAAACCGACTGAGGCCCATTTGCAAGCCAGAAGACTTCAGTACATCGCAGCAGCCGAGGCCGTTGTCTGTTGTCCTCTTTCATGCCAGATACTCTTCCCCCTCCCTCCCATTCCCATTCCTCACCTGGAGCTGGAATGCTGCAACGCCGACCGTTTCCGGGGAGCAGATTCTGGCTCCCCACAGTTTCCCGGAACGGAGGAGGAGAAGAGGCGAAAGCCTGCGCCAGTTCAGGAGGAAAAGAGAGAAGGTGCTGTGTGAGTCAGCTGCTCAGTCTAGGCTGGTTTCTAGAGCAGCGGTTCTCAACCTTTTTAATGCCGCAACCCCCAACTGGTCGTACGTCGAGGACTACCCAACCGGTCGTAAGTCAAGGACTTTCCCTGCCCGGGAGCGCCGCACATGCGTGGTGCCGCCCCCTGTGCCAGCCGAGGCCTAGCTGGCAAGGGGCAGAGACGGCGCAGGCCGACCACCGGCTGGGCCACCAGCTGGCCCAGCCCAAGAGAGGTAAGGCACCCGCCGGGCCCCACGCGCGCCAGCAACCCTCCCTGCCCCGCCGCTGCCCCGCTAGCTTTACCTTGGCCACAGCCCGCTCGGGGCGGCGGCAGGCAGGCCCAGGCGCTCCTGGGCGGCCACGGCAAGCGGCAGCGACAGCGCAGGGTGACCACTGGCTGGGCCACCAGCTGGCCCAGCCCAAGGCAGATGAGGCACCCGCCAGGCCCCACACACGCCAGCAACCCTCCCTGCACTCGCTGGCCTCCCACCTCCCACCCCTGGCCCTCTTTTACTTACTTTTAGTAGTTGCTTAGCAGGGAGGGAAGCTTTCCTTGCAGCACTGTTTGCAGACTGGGGTTTTGGCGGGCTCAGCATGGCAGAGACAGCCTGGACAATTCCTATTGGCTTTTGAAAGCCAATAGAATTAGACTCTATTCAAGAGAGTCTATTCTATTGGCTTTCAAAAGCCAATAGAATAAGAGGGAGTAGCACAGCTAAAGAAAAGGGGGAAAAAATGGCGGACATTAACATTAACTTGTTTGGCGACCCCCGTGAAATGGTCGTTCGACCCCAAATGGGGTCCCGACCCACAGGTTGAGAACCGCTGTTCTAGAGTTAAAAGCCGCTGCCCAAAGGAGGGAGAGGCTCATGGGAGCTGAGCCTCCTACAGCCCACATCGCAAGCATCACTCTCTAAAGAAGGACCCTTTGAAAGGGGAGAACCCCTCAGCCCCCCGTCAATCCTGACTGGCTCAAGCATCCGTCTAGACCAGTGATTGTGAACCTTTTAGAGACCGAGTGCCCAAACTGCAACCTAAAACCCACTTATGCATCATTGAGTGCCGGGTGGCGTGGCCCGCCGGGTGGGCGTGGCCCGCCGGGTGGGCGTGGCTGCAGTGGTAAAATGGCAGACTGGGTGGGACTAAAAAGTTCAATCAATCAATTCCAACTTTGCGAGATCTTTTTTTCCCGCGAGAAGTTGAAATTGATTGATTGAACTTTTTTTTTTTTTTTTGCACACGGCGGCGGAGGCCTAAAGCGAAAAGGTTTTATAAAACCCAGCTGAAGGCCTAGGACTGGGGCGATGGCGCGCATGCCCACAGAGAGGGCTCTGAGTGCCGCCTCTGGCACCCGTGCCATAGGTTCGCCACCTCGGATCTAGACCATGAGTTTCCAACCTTGGCAATTTTAAGACCCGGGGATGTCAACTCCCAGAATCCCCCAGCCAGCAGAGCTTCCCTGCTGTACAGCTCCTGACACAGCCGGCTGAATGAACAGGACAAATGTGCTCCAGGGGATTTTCCCGAGGCGAGCGGCTCACCACTGTCTTCTTCCAGGGAGGCTCCGTTCTCGTGCTGCGGGAGTTGCAAGGGGCACATTGAGAGGGTTATCGCCCTGAAAGGAAAAGCAGGAAGAGAGGAAGGCACGGCTGCCACTGAGCTGGTGTCAAAAAAAAAAGAATAGCAGTGACTTTCCCTGCAGCTCCTCCTGCCTGAAAAAAACACAGGCTGAATCTGCAACCAAGCGCTCGCTGACCATTAACACTCCGAGCTGGCCCAGGTTCCCCAAAGAGCAAAGGCCAAAACCTGGGCCCCATGAACCAGAGATACGGGGCCAGGCCAGCAGAACGGATTCCGCCCAAATGGCTTCCGGGAAGCACTGGCCAAGTCCCATTTTTCGCCGAGCAGGAATGCAGGTGGAAACAGGAAAGGAGCAAAGTCAGGGGCATCCAGGGATGTTTCCCCTTCCTCCCACACAGAGAGAGAGAGAGAGAAAGAGAGAGAGAGAGAGAGAGAGAGAGGGAGAGAGAGAGAGAGAGAGAGAGGGAGAGAGAGAGAGAGAGAGAGGCATAGAAAGAGAGAGAGAGAGAGAGAGAGAGAGAGAGAGAGAGGGAGGCATGTAGAAACTTAGGACTTTGGTCCAGCGAATGGGAGAAGTAATGGATCTTTTCACCAAGATAGACGGTTATTTTGAAATCAGTTGTCATTTGGTTAGAGTTTCAAAGAAGGAAAGTCGGGTTAATAATCTCTTTGTTTCGACACATCCATTCAGGCCACTTAACTGAATATTAAACTGCCCAGAGTCGCTGGACAAGGAGATGGATGGCATATAGAATTACTCCCCCCCCCGATTACATTCACTCAGAATGTTGCACATTTTGCCCACAAACTCATTTCTGGTTCTTCCATTATCCCATCACTGAGGGGTAACATGCAGATACCTCCAGCCTGTGGACCCCTACTTTCCTCTGCAACCATCCCAACCTGGGGCCTGCCTTCCGGCCTGCATTTTAGCCTCTCTGTTCATAAGGAAAGCTCCGCCTTAATTTTCACCGGCTCAAGGTTGACTCAGCCTTCCATCCTTTGGTAAAATGAGGATTCAGATTGTTGGGGGCAAAAGGCTGACTTGGTAAACCACTCAAAGAGGGATGTAAAGCACTGCGAAGCGGTATATATATCTTAGTGCTTTTGCTATTCAGAATTCTCTAGGAAAAGTTCCCACCAGGCCATACCGAAGGGAAAATGTTAATAAAATGCTTATGCCTACTTGTCCAAGATTGTGTCCAGTTTCTTTGCAACGTGTGCTCGAAATTCTGGTGTGGTCTGCAGTTCATTTCCATCCTGCTCATGATTGTAGATCTTCTCTCTGTTTCAGGAGAATAAAGATTCAGTTATTTTCTGAGACTGCCTTTGCCATCATAGGAGTAATCTCCGGAAGATTTCCATCAATCACTCGCCATTCAGGTCGTTCACCTTGAACAGAATCACTTCAATGTATCTGGTGATCCCTGAGAATGCTGGCAAGTGCAGTTCATGTCACCCAGGGCATATCATTCATATGAACTACAGTTTCCAGCCCGCTCTGAAATGATTTTGCTGGCTAGGATGCTGGGAGCTGAAGTCCATGCTCCTCAGCGGATGTCCCTGGAAAGCTGTGGGAGAAGAAACACCACACTGTATCTGCTTCTTATGGCCTCGTATGGGATTCCTCTGCTTTCGGTGTAGTAGATCTCTAATATCTAAATGAGGCTTGCAGGAAATGACCCCCAATTGAAGCAGCAGCCTCCTGCTGAGTAAGTACTGCCTGCACCGAGAGCAGGCCTGTGTCTCTTCAGGGGCTGTGCTCTCTCCCCCATCCCCCTTTTTGGAGGGGATTACAGTGGGCCAATGGCTGAATATTTTGATTCTTGCCTTTGAAAAGCTAGCATGTCAGGAGTCAAGGATATTTCAGCCCACTCTCCTCAGTGTTCCTCATCCACAAACCTATGTTTCTCTTACTTGTGGAGGGAAGCTGTGACCTGCAATGGAGGGAAGAGGGGCCCCTGTTTAAGAATCATATTTATGTCCAGTAGATGCAATTGGGGAAAGTTTAATTACCTGATGCTGGATTCACCTGCTTGCTGGTTCTTTTTCGAAGAATTCTCTGAAAACAAAAATCCAAATTAAAAAAACAAACAAACCTTCAACGTGAATTCAAAACGGTTGTGACTAAAAAATATAGAAATATAGAAAACTGATGGCAGAAAAAGCCCTAGTGGTCCATTCAGAATTTGACAGAAAGACCAGTTGAATTGACCAGAGGGATGCAGTGCACACCCTCCGCTTGAACTTCATCAAAGCACTTGACACGGTCCCCTTGAGAACCAAGCAGAGTAAAACAGTGCAGTGAAACGATGCCACCCCTGGACAGATACACAGCTGGCTGAGCCACTGCAACCAAAGAACGCTTAATGGCTGTGCGTTGAGCTGGAGAGAAGCATCCAGGGGAGGATGGCAAAGACTCTGTCTGAGAAATGGCTTTGGCAAGGCACCAGGGAAATGGTTATCAATTTACAGATAACAGACAGCGGGGCTACCTTGAGCAAAACCCAGCAGGATGAATGCAGACAGAGACAAAAGCAAGCTCCTATATCTAAATAAGAAAAAAAAATAAAGATATAAAAAATTACAGGATAGATGAACCAGACATGTGCAAGGGATCTGGATGTCCTGATGGATCACAAGTTGAATATAAGCCAGGAGTATGATCTTCTTCTTGTGCCATATCTGTTATCGGACGTTGGCAATCAAGTTGGCGATCCTGTTTTTATCAGCAGCCACACAAAAAAGTGCTGCTGAGTTTTGTCCAAACCCGTCCCTTAGTGTGATAGTGAAGCAAAAAAGACAAATAACGGATCGTCCTCCACTTACAACAGTTCAGTGACCGTTTGAAGTTACAACAGCGCTGAAAAAAATGACTCACGGCCGTTTTTCACAATTACGACCCTTTCAGCATCCCCAAGGTCACGTGATTTACATTCAGAGACTTGGCAACCGGTTCATACTTATGAGGGCCGCAGCATCCGGGGGGGGCACGTGACCCCCTTTTGTGACCTTCTGACAAGCAAGGTCAATGGGGAAACCAATGGGGCAAAACTCAACGAATTTCTCACCTAACAACGTAAATTTTGGGCTCAATGGTGGTTGTAGGTCGAGGACTACCTGTACAATTTTAAGCTGCATCAATAGAAGATAAAAATAATCATGTGCTATCAGATTGCACCTGGCATATGGATTCTAGTCCTGGATACTGTACAGGTAGCCCTTGCTTACTGACCACCCATTTAGCAATCATCTGAAATCACGACAGCCCTGAAAAAGAAGACTTCGGATTGCTTCTAGAAATTGTGGCTGTCACAGGACCACCCTGGCAACCTTTATTGCCAGGTTCTGACAAGCAAAGACAAAGGAAAGCTGGCAGGAAGACACAAGTTGTGGTTCAGGAAATGTCATGCTTAAGGACTGTAGACAATTAACAACCAGAGCTGGAACTGATGTTGTTAAGTTGGTGCAGTCGTTTGATGTTGCGCTTTACAATCACATCACTTAGCAACAAACTGTCCCAACTGCAGCCAGCAAGTGAGGAGTCCTTGTACTGCATTTTAAGAGAGACATTTGCCCAGTGGAGGCAATTAAGTACCTGGAAGGTGAGGGATAGAAGATTGGTGATGGCGGTTGGTGCGTTTAGCAATTTAATGCTGAATTCTTTGTTCTTGAGAGCTTTTCCTGAGGCCTAAATGTCAGATCATACAACAGGAAGACAGGCCAGGCCTGCTGGTGCTGGGTGAGTCTTCCTGGACAGTGAGGCCAAAACAAGCCCCACAAAGGAATCTTTTCCATTTGGGAGGCAACAGCACCACTCCTGTTTTTTAATCCCTCTGAAGCTACATTTGCTTGCATTAGACTCGCTTCACAAAGATCTGCTCATGTGACACAGCTCTCCTCATGCTTAGTTAATCCACTTTCATGAAGTGACAGCACATAATAAGGGATGCCTGGATTTTTTACATTTTTTACATCTCAGTCCTCCCAGTCAGCATAAGGAAGACTGCTGCTTCCTGCCCCAGATGTTTAACCAAATAGAGCATAAATATCTAAAAACATCAGCAATCCACATGGGAAATAGATCTCAGCCGCTGGAGGATATGCACCACTACCACCAATTTCTGCCTGTTTTCCAATGCTCCTTCACTATTTAATTTCGTTGTGAGTTACACAATGACAATATATTCTATTCTATTCTTTGGGGGTATCTGGCTATCAGAACATGAGCAGAGATGACAGCCCCAGACTATTCCATAGACACTGGCAAAGTCCAGACCTCAGAAGAGGTAAAGCTGATCAACACCCGTTGGCATTCAGTGTAAGCAGATAAACAGAAGCACCAAAGCAAGCACCTCTCCTTTTAAAAAACCTCCAGTGTTGGAGCACCCATAATTTCTGAAGGCAAGCTGTTCCACTGGTTTATTGTTCTCATTGTCAGGAAGTTTCTCCTTAGTTCCAGGTTTCTTCTCTCCTTGATTAGTTTCCATCCATTGCTTCTTGTCCTGCCTTCTTCAGGTGCTTTGGAGAATAGATTGAACCCCCTCTTCTTTGTGGCAGCCCCTCAAATATTGGAACACTGCTATCATGTCACCTCTAGTTCTTTTTACTAGGTTGCAACTGTTCTTCATGCGTTTTACCCTCCAGCCCCCTAATCATCTTTGTTGCTCTTCTCTGCACTCTTTCAGAGTCTCAACATCTTTTTTACATCATGGTGACCAAAAATTCCAAGTGTGGCTTTACCAAGGCCTTATAAAGCAGTACTAACGTCCAAGGGTAATTGAGCTGGCAGAGCTGAGTGGTGGGAAGTATCTCCCAGAGAGCCCGACCAAGTCCTTTGCACAAGCTCTGTCACAGGGAGGTGATGGGTTTGAATCCCCCTTCTTACATCACTCTATTTGTAACACATAAATTTTACAGTGTTGTACATACACATACGTACAGGTAGTCGTTGATTTATGACAATAGCCAACATTTCCCTTACTAAGCATTTTGGTTCCTTTCTTGCCACGCTTGTTAAGTGAAGCACTGCAGTTGTTCAGTTAATAACAAGGCTGTTAAGTGAATCTGGCTTCTCCACTGACTTTGCTTCTCAGAAGGTCACAAAAGGGATCACGTTAGCTCAGGAAGCGGCAACCGTCATAAATATGAACCAGTTTCCAAGTGTGTGACTCCTGGCCGCAAAGGGATGCTGCAACGGTCGTTCAGTGTGAAAAACGGTCCTGTCTTTTTTTCAGCGCCGTCGTAAAACGAACTGTTGTAAGTCGAGGATTATCTGCATGTATATGTGTGTGTACATGTGTACGTATATAAAAACATAGGTATATTTTATGATACACACACAACATACATACACACACACACACACACAGACCAAAGACTCCCTAGACCAGGTGTCCTGAAGCTTGGCCACTTTGTGGATTGCAACTCCCAGAATTCCTCAGCCAGCAAAGCTGGCTGAGGAATTCTGGGAGTTGAAGTCCACAAGTCTTAAAGTGGCCAAGCTTGAGGACACCTGCCCGCCACCGAAGCTGCCCGGCGCCCACTGAGGAGCAAGCCCCGCCGCGGCGGCTAATTCCGCAGGTGGGAAGACGGCGGCGCTGGAAAGGCTCGGGCTGAGCTCCCTGGGCAACCGGGGCGCCGTCACCACCAGTCGCCGGACGGATCGGGGCGCCTTCCCGGAGGCCGCAGAGGAGCCCCGGCCGCTCGGCCCTGGAAGCCCTACCGCCTGGAGACAGGGCAGCCGCTCGCCCGAGCGCCGGATCCCAGGCCGCCTCCCGCAGGCGCTGCCAGGCCGCCGCGTCTTCCTCGCTGTCGCCGTCGCTCGCCTCGGGCCCGGGCGCCGCCATTCCGAAGCCGCGCTGGCCGCAGAGCACTCTGGGAGTTGTAGTCCGGGGGACCGCTGAGGCGCGCCGGCGGCGGGGAGGGCGGGCGCGAGGCGCGCAGCCTCCCGCGGGATCTGGATCAGGAAAACCCGCCGCCCCCTGGGCCGCCTCCAGGCCGCGCGGACGGATTCATCGCGGCGGCGCAGGGGCGCGGCGCTTCCGGTGCAGGCCTCACTTCCGGCCGGAGGAGGAAAGAAACCTGCGCCGTCCGGGAAGAGCGGCGGCTGCGGCCCCTTCCGGTGAGCGGGCCTGGAGGGGGGGGTCCAGAGTCGGCGTGGGGGGCGCCGGGAGGGGCGGGGAACGGGGCGCTTGAGGGGGAGGACCCGCCGATCGGCCTGAGTTCTCTGGGGAGAAAGAAGCCGCCTCTCCCCCCCCCCGGCCGGCCCTGAGGGGGCGGGGTCCTCTGCCGGGAAGGGCCCGGCGGGCGCGAGGCGGCTCGCCTGAGGTGAGGCTGCTGTGGGAAGGGGGGGGTCTTCGGGGGGGCGATCGCTGAAGTCGGGGAGGGAATCCGTGGAAAGGCAGCGCATGCGCGGGACGCAGTTTATGATCTTTGTTTTGTCTATCTTGCCTACGATGAGGAGGAGGAGGAGGCGGCTTCGGGCCGGACCCTCCGGCAGCCGATAGTCAGCCTCCAGGGAGGAAGCCGGTTAATCCGTTCCTGTGGCAGGCAGTGGGTCAGCAGCCGGTGGATCCGGGAAAGAGAACCAGCACTGCCCCTGTTGGGGAAAATATATCTCCGAATAGAGCTGGAAGGGACCTTGGAGGCCATCTAGTCCAGCCCCCTGCTCAAGCAGGAGACCCTATGTCAGGGGTTCTCAACCTTGGCAACTTTAAAACTTGTGGACTTCAACTCCCAGAATTCCTCAGCCAGCAAAGCTGGCTGAGGAATTCTGGGAGTTGAAGTCCACAAGTCTTAAAGTTGCCAAGGTTGAGAACCCCTGCAATGTCATTTCAGACAAGTGGCTGTCTAATCTCTTCTTAAAAACCTCCAGTGGTGGAGCGCCCACAAGCACCCACACAACGGCTCAAAAATGTTCGGAAGAAGATGCTAATATAACACATAATATGATAAAATACCTTACATTCTCAGTATATGTCTTACTATTCAAGCAAGGGAACCTTCCATTCCATCAGCCACAAGCCTAAATCCTGCCTGGTGCTGAGAGCTGGTGAAAGGCCCTTTTCTAAGCTTCTGGGACTCCTGGGGTTGTCTCACGGTGGGTGGGCTCTTCCCTGTCTCAAGATGTGGCTTTGGAAGGCAATTATTTGAATCTGTTTGGCACTGTTTGTCTTGACGGATGGCTGGGCATGGGTGTGTCTGTGGGCATGGACTTCAGATCAAGGCTTTTGGACTTGATCCCGGATAGCCCTTTGCGTGTATTGGTGGGAAGTGGTTTATAGGCATTGTGTAAGGACCCACCCCACTTTGCATCTTAAGAAGACAGAATTCTTGGGATAATTCTTCCAACAGGCATCCTTTATTAAGAGAAAATGGTTGCAGGCGTTCTAGACAGGACTTGGGGTCCAAGCTCTCCCATTCAAGGTTTTAAGGGGTTCCCCAGTAGCCCCACCCAATCACCCCCTTCTTCCAGCAACAGTCTCAGGCATTACACTCCCACCCCCTTTTCCTTACTGCCGGCTGGAGGGAGACTTCAGAGAGGAGTACATGAAAGGTAAATAGCCTCCTTTGTTATGATAAGGCCTTTTGGTGCTATCCACATTCAATCCTTTTGAAGTTGTACCGAAGGAAGTGAGGGCCATAAAGCCCCTTTGTTCACCCCCCTCTCTTTCTTGTATGGCAGAATCCAGAGAGGGCAGAAATGGGGTTTTCTATAATTGATAACTAGAGATGAAATATAATTGGATTCTGACACATTGTCTCATTACTGCTTAATTTTCCAGGTTAACATTTAGAATAGTTTTGCAAGTAAACTTATTAGGATTTTTTTAGAATATAGTACAATTTATTACAAAGTAGATATTTGAATTTCTAAGATTCATTTTAACAATCCAGTTGCTGTTTATGTAAATCATTGTTTTTTGCTTTCCTTGTTTTGGAAACAAGCACTATACATTTTCAGAATAAAAATTTTAGACGCTTGTGTGCCATCTAAGATTTTTCCAGTCTTATTCTAAAAGTTAGCTGGCTTGCTTCTAGTGAGTTGTACAGGGTTCACCTAATACAATGTTTTGCTGCTGGTATATAAGTAAGTGATCATATTACTGTACACTAATTACTGCTAATATAAAGATTGCATTTAAAGAATAATGCCACTTGCTTCCTCTTCCTTGTTTCTTTTTAAAAACTAAACTCCAATGAACAAATTGAATTTATTTCCAAATATATGTATCATAGGCTTGCATAGAAAATGGTTTTAAAACTCATTGCTTGAAGGGCTGTAATTTATTTATTCAGTTTCTATAGCTGCCCATCTCAGCCGAGGGACTTTGAGTGGCTTGCAATAATTAATGTACCAGAGTCAAATAACAGTAACATAGGTGTAGAGATTTCACATTGGGAGCTTCAATCACAGAGACAAAACACTTAAATATTTAATTTTTTAAAAAAAATATCTCCCATATCTAAGGTTAGAGAATATTTTTTCTGTAGGGAGGAAGCACAAGATGTCGTGAATGTTGGTGCTAACATTTGCCTACAGTATTGCTTTTTTTTCATTCAAATTGCACACGTTGACGTCACTAAAGAGAGCTCAGAGCTGGCAAAGCTGGGGTCTGTTAGATGCTTGCTAGCAGATTGTGATGTTGTCCTTTGGGGGCATCCTGTTGTATGATGTAATTGAATGAAAAAAAATCTGTTGAAATAGAGATCTTCTCTGTGTGGATGCTGTGGACATGAAGTCTCCCTGGATTTCTTGTGGCTGTGCGTGAACATTTTCATCAGAGCCGAGAGAAGATACAGACGTCTTCTTTGCTGCTTTTGTTTTTCTTGGAAATATTTGCATAGGAGGTGAGCGTCGGGTGAGTCAGGTCAGAGGAGGGGGTTATTGTTATTACTGTATTCATTTGAATATCTTAGCCAAGATGAAGGAAGTACTCCATATCCCCGAGTATTTTATGACTTTAAAAGGCTGTAAATTCAATTTGGATGTCACCTAACTAAGATTTGAGCAGCAGCCTTGTTCCAGCTGATGTAGCAAAGTCTCAGGGCGCCCTTCTTGGAGTAGGTTTGGGTGTGTTGCCGTAAGCGAGACTGAGAATGCACTTGTGTTCTCGGTGAAAACTAAATATATCTTGCAATAATTCTTGTACCAAGCAGATTTGCCTAATGCAATCTACACATCAGCAGAGTAAAACTAACCTGTCTTATGACGGCCTAAAAACCCAGCTCATGTTTCCTATTAGTGGGTGAACAATCCAACTGTAGCTCTGTTCCAGCGATCCTTTAGATTGTCATGCTGTTGAATTGAGAAACTTATGTGAACCTAGTTTCTAAAATGCAGCTTTCCTCTGTAGACAGAGAAAGCAGTAGATTTAAGCAGTAATTGTAAAAAAAAAAACAAAAACTTAGCAGCATTTTGGCTTTCTTCTTGAGGTGCCTTGTTTATATAATTTATATGCTGCCCATCTCACTGTTACAGAGGGGTGTGTTACTGTGTGTTCTTGAGCATTTTTTGTGATTTTATTAAAATGTGATTTTATTAAAAGGCAGATGTTTGGTGAGCTGCAGCTTTGTTAGAGGCACTGAGTGTGTAAGACTCCGAGGGGTTCCGAGGCCTCATGTCAGAATCCAATTATATTTCATCTTTAATTATCAAACATAGAAACTCCCAATTCTGCCTTCTCTGGATTCTGCCATAAGAGGGAGAAAAGGGGGAGAGCAAAGGGGCTTTATGGCCCTCACTTCCTTCAGCACACTTCAAAGGACTGAATGGGTGTTTATTGTGGCCTCTAAGCTTTAACATATCAAAGAAGAGTACTTGCCTTTCATGTAGTTATCTGAAGTCTCCATCCAGACGGAAGAAGAAAGGGGATGGAATTGTGATACTTGAAACTATCACTGGAAGGGGGGTTGATTGGGTGGGACTACTGGGGAACCCCTTAAAACCGTGAATGGGAGAGCTTGAACCCCAAGTCCTGTCTAGCATGCCTGCAACCATTTTCTCTTAATAAAGGAGTCCTGTTGGAAGAGCTATTCCAAGAGTTCTGTCTTCTTAAGATGCAAAGTGGGGTGGGTCCTTACATTAGACAGGACTTGCAAAATTAATCCACCTTGAAGGTAGACCCTTGCCGGGGGATTTTGCAAAAATTTACCATGTCAGACAACGAAGCAAGAGAGGGAGAAAACTCCCTGGAAAGAGAGCCGCTGACCCAGTTGGAACCTTGCCAGATGTTGGGATCCGAGAGGCCAGATTTCTCCGAAGAAGAAGTGGTGGAGACACAGGACCACAAGCCTCGCTGGTCGATGGGCGTTGGAAAGAAAAGCGAGTGGGGAAAGGAATCAAGAAAAGTGACCCTGAGACGGGGGACCAAGCAACCAGAATGGAAGCAGGAGATGGAGAAATCCCTGCACGCAAATGAAGAGGGAGGAAGCTGTATGCCGTACTCAGACTGGATCCTAGAGAGAGCTATTGACCTGATGAAGAGAACTCTCAGCTCCCTAGGAGAGGAGATTCCTGAGCCCTACGCCCGCCCCAGTTCCTGGAGTCACAAAGGGAGAGACACCGAGGGGGACGTGGAACCTGCAACCCCAGGGACATTTACTGATCCAGGAGCTCCCACCCCCTACCGGACCACAGATGGAAATCTGGACGGAAGACACTACCACCCACAATGGAGGCACCGATCCCTTCCAAGACGTCCACCGTTGGAGGTGAAATTCAAAGGGGAGCCAACACGCTTGGGGTTTTTCCTAACCCAAGTCCTCAGCTACATGTAGGAATATGGGCAGGACATCCCCAGCGACAAAGCCCGCATCCGGATCGTGCAATCTGCCCTGGATGGACCAGCTGCAGATTGGGTGGTGAACCTGCATGACTCCAATG